TACAGAGAAAAGTTCCAAATATGATAACTTTCTTTTTCCTTATTCCCGAACTGGGGTTCACAAGCCTGCTTCATGCCAACAGCGCTTTTATTCGAAATATGGCTAATATTGGCCTTAGAGACTTACTACCTACTGCGTTTATCTAGTTTCAATATATTTAGATCAGTAGGCTGTCCACGATGTTATCAAGTTCAAGATTTTTGATACCATCCTCTTCATATTACATCGGCTACCTATCTTTATTACTGTCCATGCTGTGTTCTATCCTCTTTTTATCATCTAAGTTTTCAATTGTTTGCCAAATATTTACCCTCTTTTTATCTCAGAAACGTTTTTGGTGCATTTTTCTCCACTTAATTTAAGTAAAGCGCCTCATTTTATTGAGATAAGCAAACTATCAGTTCGACTTCTTTTCTTCCTTTGCCAACATCGATATACTCCACTTGCTAAAATCCTCCACATGCGAAAAACTTATTTTTAGTTGTAATTTTATTTCCTTTTTCGCATATTTATAGTACGTTTAATTGCAATCTCTCCTTTTTGTAGCATTATCCATGTTCATTATTTTTTTTTATTTTGGCTCATTTTTAAGTAGCTCAATATTCGATAACCTCATTTCCGAACTAGCCACATTGCTTAGTGAGATGGGTGGCGCCAAACGCATGATTTCTTCGACTGCCTTTCGCCTGTCCGCTGCTCTGGAGCGGGCCAGTAAAAGACATAATGGTATGCCTAATTCCAAATGATACGGGCTCTTTGTCACCGGTCACAGGTCATTCACATTTATTTCTTGCCTTTACCTGCTTTTCAGCCCCATCTGCTTCAGTTGCTTTACAAAGCCCTTCGGACCCCCCGTTTGATTTACATACCGATGATCCTACGATTGCGACTGTGAAAGAGGAAGAACAAAAGGTACAATCAGACTGTTCACTGAAACAAAAGAATGTTGGTCCAGATGAAGAGGGACATCTAGACTTCCGGGCTTTGAGAGTTAACAGGGTAGCCAAGCATTGCTCGAGCATTCGTCAACGGCCTGAAAATACTGCTAGCATTTTTGTGAACTACCCTCATATCGAGGCCAAGCGCTTTGTTCTCCTTAAACAACCGCTTGCCGGCTTATCTGACTCGACAAATTCTGATTACCCTCCGTCACAAAAGGACGAATCCAGGTATTTATTAAACTTATTGACAATTATTTTTTGTTTATATTTAGGGTTTTGAGACAGTTATACATTTTAAAGCTAACAGTATAATCTAATACTATTATTTAACTAGGCTTGTGTTGAACTTTTATCTACGTGGCTCTATTTCTAAGCAAGCTTATTGTCGCGGCATTTAGTTTTATTTCTGTGCTGATTGCTTAAATTATATCATTAGACTTAAAATAATCCCTCGCATTATAATTGTAAATTATTAAAAACCTTTTACAGAATCCTTAATAATTTTCGGGCTTCAACTGTTCATTACTTAATGATAATTTTTACCTTTGATTCTCTCTCATATTAGCACCTGGTTATTTCACTAAAGATTTTCGCGTTTTTATATGAAAAAAACAGGGTTTTTATCATCTCATTAACACTTTAATTACATTTAACTTTAAATTTCGTATTGAGAGTTAAATGGAGGGAATTCGCGAAATTACCTCATTCTCCATGAACTTGCAATTGCTGATTAAGATGACGTTCTTCAATTTCATTCATGCTTAGTTTTCATGTAGCAGACATCTTCTGAAGATAATATCATTCTAAAAAATTTACCATACCTA